AACATCTAATAATCGATATTTACCGATATTGGTTAAATATCGAGTAATAATGCATTTATCGATATATATCGATATTTTTTTAACGATATATATTGATATAATGTTATATATCAATATATATCTAGTAATAAAATTTCCTGATGTTGTATTTGGTAAAAGCTTGGTTTAGATAATTATTAAAAATTTTTTTTAATCAAAACTATAGATTTGTATTATTAATTAAAGGAATTTATAATTTATTGCATGATGCAATATATTGTACCTCTATTATAACTATGTGAAGATCATCAATTTTGTGTAATAAAAGAAATTTTACCAAAACAAAAAATAAATTTTGATTAATGTTAGAATTAGAGTTAGGGATATGACAAAAATTAGATAATTTTTTAGGGGGAGAGGGGATAAAAAAGTTAAAATTATATATAAGAACCTGATTTTTTTATATTAAGAGAGGGGAGAGGAGGTAAGCCTCTGATAAAAAATAATGAGGTGATAAATGATACTGCCCTTACTGTTTGGGATAAGACAGAGGTATAGGTTATATTAAAATTTTATAAAAAATTTTTTTTATTAGAACCTCAAAGGTGGTTTCATAGTAAAAATTTTGATATAACAAAAGGGGTGCAATATATTGCATATGCAATAAATTTTAAAACCCTTAATTAAATTATTAAAATATAAATAATATATATATATAATACAATATATTTTATATAATACTACTGTATATATAGAGTAATTTTATTCTAAAAACAAGTTAACAAAAATTTAAAATTTAAATCTTTATATTTGATCTTGATTGTATTTTAAAACTATACTTTAACTCTAAAGATAAAGATAATTATTTTAAGTATATTTTTTATATAAATATAAATACATACTGTATTAGTTATTTATATTTAAATTTTTTTTTTTTTTTACTACTTTTATCCTTTAAATTAAGTTACAAAGTTTATTTTTGCATATTTAACACAAATTAAATAATCAAAATTGGGTTAGTAAAATTTAAAATATTAAGAGGTAGTTTGCAGTTGAAGGGCCAAATTTTCATAGTAATAATCGGCGCAATATTTAATTGAAAATTAAAAATATGATAGACTATTTAGAATCTCTGAAATAACGTTATCACGAAAATCGTAAGATTACGCATTTTTGCAAATCGTTATAAATCATATTTTTATTTTCATTTTTCATAATACGGTATTATTTTAATGACTGCAGTTTATAATGAAGAGGATTTACGTGTTATTTTTGGCAATGAGTTAATATAATAACGTTAGAAACCGTCACTAACCTCAATTAGTAAACGGTAGAATGCCGCGGGAAACGATTATCGGTATCAGACACAATATAAAATATTATTTATAATAAATATTTATCAGCCTGCAGCTTTAATATAATTTTTTTGTTTGTTTGAGATCTGACAGATGTTATCGCGGTCCAATATTATTTGTCTTACGCGCCCAATAACTTGGATTATCTGTCAAAAAATTTTTGACATATAACTGCAGTTATTGGTCGTTACATGCACAATAACTAGATATATGTATTATCAATATACCTTCAAGAGTAGTCATCCAAATACATAGTTTTTTTCACACTTAAATACATGTATATACATATTTATACGTATATTATGTTGTTTTGCAAAAGGTTGCATATATGTATTGTTTTTTTTTGTTTTTGTACAGTAATTGAAAAATACTAATCTAATTATTCTAATTTATCGATTACTAATAACGATATAGTCAGACAATGTTAATTAACAAAAATTGATTGAGGAGGCTAATAAGGGATTTGATGATAATGAGGTCTAGTTGTATTTGCATTTCTTTAAAATGCAAATTTAAAAATGGTTGTTTAAAAATGGTTGTTTAAAAAATGGTTGTTTAAAAATGGTTGTTTAAAAATGGTTGTTTAAAAATGGTTGTTTAAAAATGGTTGGTTGAAAATGGTTGGTTGAAAATGGTTGGTTGAAAATGGTTGTTTAAAAATGGTTGTTTAAAAATGGTTGTTTCATATATACACAAATTAACCAAAGATTAATCTAAAATTCTCAATCTCTTCCAGCATTATGAATTAAACGAATTAAAAGAGATAAAAGTTATGGTGAAATTGATTGGATTGTGACGTTATGTCACTAGATACTTGCACATCTTCAAAGTCTGGAATTGAATTAATGATCGCATTATCGTTATCGTTATCGTTATATTGTTGCGAATTAAAGATTGAATCAATGATATCGTTGTGATGAGATGAAATGTCAGTAGATTGTTGTGCACTGTCAAAGTCAGGAATTGAATTAATGATAGCTTCGTAAGTCAATTTCAATTCTTGGTAATAAGGATCATTTAACGGTAGATGTAAGTTTGTTAGACTTGAATTCATGGAATGTTCTTGTTGAGTACTTCCACCACCTATCAAATTGTGAGATGATGTCAACTCGCGTGAAATGATATCTTTATTTCTTCGTCGTTTCTTTGTTTTTTGAACATCAACAAATCCAACTGGAACTCTCTGTTTAAATGCTATATTAACTTCTTTTGATATATTTCTATACATATCCTTAATATGGTCAGGAAATCTTTTCCAACAAATGCTTGCATGAACTGAAATTTGGCCTGAATTAAATCCGAGTTTTTTGGCTTCGTTCGAAAACTCAGTTCTAAAGATAAAGAAGGCATTACATGTCTTATTAGCATTTTTCATACGATTATTTTTAACAGAAGTTTCTACGAGTTCCTGAACCGAGAGTTTTGGGAAATATTTAATCTTGGGATTAATGAAAATGGTACTAATATCACATTTTTTTTCGAGAGAGTATTTCACAATGTCATTTACTGAAATAATTGTTTCTCCAAGATCGTTAAAACTGTTGTCTTTGTAAACGGATAATAATTTTTCCATATTTGCTAATAGAAGGTAATAATAACTTAGCTCACATTACACACAACACGTCTACTGTGTATATATATATATATGAAATTTTTCAATATATTTCAATATATTTCAAGATTAATATAACGATAGGCTTATATATTACCAATTTCTTTTGTTTGGCATCCGCTCAATACATTATACCATAAATGAAATACAGTAATTGAAATTCCGTTACATATTCTATAAAAGGGAAGGTATTTCTCCAAGAAGGTATATTTGCAGATGGTGGGGTCTTACGTTTTACAGATGCATGATGTGTGTGAAGTAATCTTTAATAATATGCGTCATGATTGAAATAAGCAGTAACGTTATAATGTTTTTGATCCCAACTATACATGTGATACTGTATTTTGTTAAATAAAGAATCAATTACGGACATTTTGAATAACTTTTAATTCTGAATAAGGACTAATATAGATTATGCATTGTAGTTTTTATGACGGCTGATATAATATTTGCTAATCTTGTTTATTCATGTCTGTTTGCATTGATTAGTGTTTATTTGTTATTATTCAAGATCTATTTCTTTCCCTAGCTTCTAAAAATAATGATTATTATCGTTATCGTTATGTATATTTGTTTTAGGACGAATCGGATAAGATAACGATATAATGTAAAACCACAGATTAGTAAATGTAAATTTTTTAACACCAATGCTTGCTTCTTTCAGATAATCCCGGTTACTACTACGAGGATCAACTGAATAGACCAATTAGATAAATGGACGGTTGTAACGATCCACGGAAAACTGTTAAACCAATACATTAGACTCTTTTGAAACGATTTCTTTCTTTTAGTATTACTATTCGGTTTAATCTATCATTGATTACGTCAACTGTAATCACCCTGCATTAGCATTCATTTTTTATTTTTTTATATATCCGAGTGTTAAATTCCAGTCTACGTATGCGCAAATTCATATGAGTTTTGATTTATCTAGTTTCAGCACAACGAAAAAAACTTATATAATCGGATTTCTTATCCCGGGTTGGATCTGCATGACCGTATCTGTGCACAAATGTTACACATTGTTAAAATATATTATATACTGTATTATGTATAATAGTTCATATTGACTAACGCTAATAATTTTACCAGCTAAAATAATATGCCATGGGATCTCCGAGATCTCTTAGTGTCACCAAGTTTAGCTACGTACGTACGTACGTAGAAGGAATTTGATAATTACATTATATTCAATTATGTAATTTATCCATTTTTATAGCATTTAACGCAGGTCTTATCGTGGTGGTACTTGCAATTCACATGAGCAGGGTTTAGATTCAAGTCTTTTTTTAATGTTAAGATGAAGCCTTTTTGCAAGTGTGCGAAGATAATTTCTTATGGACTTTTTTTTTCCAATCGGATTCCTTCTAATCCAACCTTCAGTCAGCTTACTCCGGTTAGATCTTATTTTTAGCATACCAATTAGGATGTCCAGAATTATGCGATCGCATAAAATGCGCATAATCGCACATATACGTCGCATAATTAGACAAAAAAACACATAAAGTCACGTGGTTGTGTTGGTGTTTTCGAAATAAATTCCGTAAGGTTCCTATGTAGACAATGAACCGAGCAAGGACGAATTTTTTTGATTTTGGTGATTATTTTATCCAATCATTTATGACAATCATTTATGAAATTGCTATTAAAAATATAATAAAATTGAATTGTATGAATTGTACGATTGGTTGATTGTCTTCTGAATTATAAATTGCTTATGAAACCGTCATAAAAACGCTTATGAAAACATGATAAAATTAATCATTTTGTTTGTATTTGATTGGTTAATTGTATATTTGCTTATTAATATTTTGATATAGTGATGCTGCGTAATATATTTTTATTATTCAGAGTGGTTATACGATTCTATTGTATTACTTAATTTTAATAGTCACAATTTTTCGCCTATATGGGCAAAAATTTCGGAAAAGTTCCGAAGAATAAATGGACAAATAACTACGTATTAAAATCGCACAATATGCACAAAATGAATAAAATTTATATCGCATTCATCCATAATTGTCCTCATTTCGCAAGCATAATTTACCTTATCGTATCGCATAATCCTGGACACCTTAATACCAACTAATAGACAAGAGCAAACCATTCATCTTTGATCTACTTTTTTGATACATCTAAACGTACTCTGAAATTTCAATACTTTTACATATGGTGGATTATTTCTGATGTGATTATTGTAAAATTCGCGCTGATTGGTTAATTTATTAAATTCATTATTAAAATTTGAGGCTCCGTAAAAATAGCATTACAGATAACTTTGCTTAGAAAATACGTATATTACACTTAAGAATTTTATCTTTATATGCAACAAGACCCTAGTTTTCTGGATCAAAAATTCTTGCTAGTGACATTTGTCAGCCGAACCATGTGCAACATGTGGCAAAGATCTTAAAAGAATACAAGAATAGTTTCGGTATTGTAGTAATATGAAAATTTTCGTTTATATCCAACAAGATCTTAGTTTTACCGATCCCAAATAGTTTTATTTAGTTCTAAAATGTGCTTGACTTTTATTAGCAACTTATGGTTGGTATTCGTTTAATAGGTTTGCTTGAATCAATTGTCCAGGTAACTTATTTACATGCATTAAATTACTTTTTTAAAAGAGTAACATTTTACTACTAAGAATATAAATTTTGAAAATTTTGATTAATTGTTATGTTGTAAGTGGAAATGGAATTTAAGTGGATTTGAAATTTCTTAATAAAATTATAATTTTAGTGTAGAATTCATTTTATATAAACCTATACTCTAATTCTAAAATTTCTATAAAATTCCAAATCTACTTAATTTCTGTTCTTACTTACAATATTTATATTATATTTTTTGTATAAATTATAGAAGTTAATGCTAAGTAAGCATTAATATAATTTAAATCAAATACGTGTAAATAATATTATATTGTTTAATTTAATATAAACTAAAGATAATATATTTTTAATAGAATAAAAAAATTAAATAGAATTACTATTTAAAAGATATAATAAAAGTTAACATTTGTTAATAATAACAGATATAAAACATATCTTTTTTAGTATAATTACTTATAGATCAAATAAGATGATAGGCTATAATTTTATATATAAATTTTTTTTTAATTTTTTTAAAAAAATAAATAGCTAAAACTAAAATTGGCTAAGTTAAAATTTAATCTATTTTATTATAAAAATTTAACAATTTTTAATATATTTTTTAATTATTTTTTAAAGTTAAAAATTAGCTTTAGAGATAAATTTATAATAAACAAATATAAGTAAATTTTAATATATTTTATAAAACTAAATTAAAGTTTTTAAATTTTTAGCTTTAACCAATTTTAGTATTATTCTCAACAATAAATATAAAGAAGTATTTTAATGCTCACTGGAGGTAAAAATTTACCAGGGCTATATCTCGAAACTGCACTATGAAACAGGGGTTGGATAGATTAAGTAAAATGTTTAGGACTCCTAAAAACTTCATGAGAACTTATATCTACTCTACATTATCTCTTAAACTGTCCAGTTAAGCAGGCAAATTTGCCTGCTTAAATTTTATAAATTCATATCTGATCTATTTTTTTTAAAAATAAAAATATTTTATAATTTTTTTTAAATAAAAACTATGATTATATACTATTTAAAACTTCTTTTTATTTGCTTAATATTTATAAAAAATTTGA